GAGTAGAGTTCCAATCGACTCTCAGCTATCTCAAAGACCCGCCAAAAGGATGGCCAAATGACGCTGTTGACATCGTCGCTGGTCTGGATGATATCAAAAACAAAGTCGGATCTGGGCAGTACAATAACGAATTTGATTTCGAGACCGACATTGCATCCTTGTTGGTAAAAGCGCACGACGGGCATTTGGGCTGGAACGGAATGGCGTACGCAGGGATATTCAGGTGGCGACGAAGCAGCGCGTTTGCCCTTGTTTCTGCATCAAGAGATGGTAGCGACGTACCCCAAGTCTGGGCTTTGGAGGACTTCAACGGCACAGTCGGGTATGACCCCTCGCCTGTTACGCAAATCGACGGAAGAGATGTCGAGAGCTTTCTGCAGGACGAAGCAAACTTGAACGCCTACCACGATCCTGATACACGTTACAACGCAATGTTTTTCTCCCAGGCAGCGGAGAACTATGGATATTTTACCAGTCCAAGGTTTTATCCCGGTGCTACTACCAACGTAACTTATGAGAACGGCACGATCAATACGTACAGCAACGGTGCTCTTGTCCTTCAACCCGAGTCTTGGGGCTACGTTAGCGATGCCGAATCGTTGTACAAGACCTACATTATACCCCAGACAAGCTCGATGAGGATCAAGAAAAGGGATCCCACTAAGATGCCTCTACATCTGGAGAATCCGCGCGACTACGAGTTCAGGGGTACTTTCGCGCAACAGCACGCTTCGGTGCCGTTGCTTTACCCAGAACCAGTCGTTGCTCACTCGGCAGATCAGGTGCCTTTGGCTGGATTCTTCGTCAACACCGGTGTTGGCGAGATTGGTGTATTAGTGGTGACGACATTTAACACAGAAGATGTCGCAGGTGCCCAGGAGTTCCAAGCCGTAGTCCAGGAGTACATTTCTGAAGCCAAGTCCCGCGGCGTAGAGAAGATCATCATCGATCTACGTGCCAACAACGGCGGCAAGGTACTTTCTGGTTACGACATGTATCTGCAATTCTTCCCAAACCAACAACCACAGACCCAAAACCGGTACCGTGGACACCGAGCCAGCGAGGTCTTCGGTGAGAATATTTCGAGCTTCAAGCAGATCAATATTCTCAATGCCGAACTCTTCACAAGCCCATTCAGCAACGACGCCTACCTCTCTTCCACTGGCGACGAATTTTCGGACTGGAACGCAATGTACCCACCTGAGCGTTTCAATAACGACAAGTTTACTGCTCTGCTGAAATACAACCTCAGTGACCCCTTGACGACAAGCAGCGAGCGCACCGCCGTCGGCATCACCATGACAGGCTACAACGAGCGCAGTAACTTCACCACGGACCCCTTCCGCGCCGAAGATATCATCTTGCTTACCGACGGTGTCTGCGCCTCAACCTGCTCCATCTTCGTCGAACTCATGGTCCAGCAATCTGGCGTACGCAGTCTCGCTATCGGTGGCCGTCCGAACTTCGGTCCCATGGTAGCCGTTGGCGGCACAAAGGGAACCTTAGTGATCCCTACTCTTTACATGGAAGCCTTGACCACATACGTAACCGCTGAATTCGCCTCTTCCCGCTCAGAAGCCAACGACTGGGCACAGTTCCTCCCCACAGCCCCACCTATTGCTGTAATGGATGCCAGCGTAAACTTCCAGGACAACATCCGCGCGGGCTTTGAGTCCGCGGGCGTGCCAACACAGTTCCTGAACGACACAGCAAGTTGCCGGATCTGGTATGAGCCGGAGCATTACTTCAATGTGACGAGATTGTGGGAGAAGGCGGCGAACGTGGCGTTTGGCAATGATGGAGGCATGGATGAGAGCGCTTGTGTAGCGGGCAGTGTGACGAGTTCGGATCAGCAGCAGGGTAAGGGTGATTCTAACCCTGAGAGCACGGGCGATGGAAGTGCACAAGGAGGTGACGATGAGGATGCAGCAAGTGGGCTTAGAGTTGGGTGGACGGGTCTGCTTGCGACTGTTGGCGCGGTCACGCTCAGCTTTTGTTTGATGTAGAGGGTACGACTTGTATAGAGCTTGCATAATGTTGTGTCTTACCGTCTATGATGTGCAAATTCTGCTGTTGTGTCCATGTTGCCATGTCCAGGTCACCACGAACAGTATCGATGTGGTCATGCGATTGAATTGAGGCTCAGTTACTCTCTTCCGACATTTGTTACGAGAATTGCGGATATGGATCTTATCATGTGGGTATCTAACTCTAGTTTTTCTTCCGCTTTCTGCACTCATACTAAACTTCCGAAGCCAATGCGTCCAACATGCCGATCCAGTATGACTTCGCGACCCCTCACCGCAGCCCAACCAAGACTGACTGTTCCCGGTACGCTAGGATGAGAGTCGGCGTTCCTAGCCAGAAGCATGCATTTCCCTTCTGAGGTCTGCAAGACATACTGTTCAGGTGTGATAACCAGCTCTCCATAATCTTCTTCTTCCTCGTCATAATCCTCTTCACCATCGTCGTCGTCGTCTGCGATCTCCTCACCACTCCCACACTCACTTGGTGCCATACCAAATACCAGATCAGGGAAGACGCTCAACGCCCCACAGTCCACGTATAGCACTTCCTCGCCGTCTCTAGCTTGCTGTTCGGTAGTCGTAGCTAGCAGCAAGACGTCCCAGATACCCTTTGGAACGTATATGTAGGGTGTGCTTAGATCGAGAGTCGCGGACTTAGCAGGCATGGTAAGCATACCATCCTTCCTGATGCCAATGTCGAGTATGGGGATGCGTGCGCCTAGCATGGACAGAGTATGCAGTGGTAGCTGTGGGGTCCATGTGAACCGATCGGTAAACTGGGACCAAAGTGCTGCTTGACGTGTACTGGAGAATGTAGCGGTACCCTTGAGCGAAGAGTTGAGGGGAATGTTGATGGTGATGGCGTGGTCGGCGACCTCTTCGATGCCGTACTCAGCCAATGGACCTTGGAGTTGGTCGAGACGGGTACGCGTGAAGTCATCGTCGGAGGCAGCGAAGTTGTAGTGAAGGTTTTGGTCCAGCTGCTGGGGTGTCAGATTGATACCAGGATAAGATTGGTTGTTCTACATACTGTGAGAGTGAGTACACGCGACGACGCCGGCTTGGAGTCTAGCAACGGCTTTTGCTGTTGTAGCGAGGGGTCTAGATACGCCGCCGCCGTCAGAAGCGGCAGCGACGTGAAGAGCATTGTTTGAAGCATTTCGGCGGTTGGTGAGTGACTTGGGAGGCGCGGGTAAGGGAGTTCTTTATCATCTTGCACCCGCCCAAGCGGATCCTTTGCCCTCGCCGCAATATATTGCGCCCATTTGCGTTCACCTAACCCGACTGCGCATTTTTGCTATATAATTGGGGTCGCAAACCTCGCCGCTGGATAATAGCTCGTGTGGCGCCTGCAGTTCCGTTGTGGTTCGCTGACGGCGACGATGCGACCAGGGTGCGCATGCAGCTCGGCTGCTCTTTGGAGGCGCGCAAGCACATGAAACTATAGTTGGCGCGACGATGCAGCAGACACGGCGGTATTTTTGGTTCATCATCATGGCATGAACTTATGGGGTCGGCAAATAATACCAGAAATATACGTCTGCGTCTGCGTGTATTAATTGGAATCGTAGCCAATCATGACGGCGCAACCTACAACCCCATAAGATTAGTCCCGCATAAACCGAGTTTCTGTCATGTCAAGGTTGTAGTGGGTGCTTTGATTGTCTTGAAGTAAGCCTGTCCGTCTCTTTGCAGGGCTGACACCGGTCTGAACAGACATGGCCTGGACTCGAAAGAAACTTCGTCAGCACGCAGAGCTAATTCATACACAAGCGGTAGTCAGAACCCGAGAGATGAAGAGCACAGCTATCGGGGTCGGCTGTCTGGAGCATTGACGGCTGGCGGAGGCATTACTTCTCGTCGCAGAAATCTTCGGTGCCATTGCTTGTTGCGGCAGATTGCTGTGGCCGAGCTTGGCAGATTGTCTCAGACAGTCGGTGACCTAACCCGGGCACTGACGACGCTTCGGTCTTCAATGTGAGAATCTACTCGTTTGTGAGATGATTGTGATATGTACCTAGGTATTGGTGAGCGGTGGTAGACAAGAGCGAACGCGTGTCGGAACCACGCGACCGGACGGATCATCTTATCGGGGCTGGGGCCCCGGATGCGGCAGCTGTCACGCTGCAACCGGCGACTCACAAACACCACAGAACCATACTTCGCCTACCGACCTCAACAATTCGTATGCCCGCGCTGCGCGGGTAGATGGACGAGCTGCTTTTTGCCACCTGCACCACACTCCCCGAGTTCGGATCTCCACGGGCCGCGATAAAGCGTGACTGCGACCCGGCAAACAATGCCGTCGCGCGACGATGGTGAACTAACAGTGGCATCGCAATGAAGCTGAAGTCTGTGCATAGCTGCAATGATGCCGTCAGCAAAGGGCCTTCCACGGTACCGCGTCCTCTACCAAGCTCTTTCGGAATGCGATGGCCGTCATTTCCTTAGTGAGGACCAAGCGCGCAGTCGTTTCATACCATCGCGATCGCCTCGAACCAGCAGATTGTGCTGGAGCGAACAAAGTCTTGATTCTCTCAACGAGGCTGTGTAGAGCGGCGGGAAATGGACGGACGCGCAATTCACTCGCGATCAAGACGTCGTCCAGGCATGCGCCTGCCAGTCATTCGGCTTATTGCCCCTGACCAAGGCTCGGCGGGCTTCTACTAATTCATGACTATGGACTTGGCTGCTTGGTCTCCGCGATTCCTGCGCGCCCGCCAACACCCATCGACTTGGCGCGCAGCAGCGCCAGACAACCCATGAGGGTTGGCAAGTTCCACATGTAGCACTCGGGGGTAACCAAGAAATTGCTCTGTTGCCGCTTCAAATACTGTCGCTAGCCCGGCTTCCGCCTCGACGTTTGCATGCCCTTTGTGTGAGAATTACCTTTCCTACTTTACCAGTCACTCGTTAGACTTCCAATCGCTCTTCTATTTGCCTTTTAATTCTATCTCTTCTCCTGCGCCCGTCATGAAGACCTCTGTCGTCTTCTCCATCTTGGGAGCCGCTATTGCTCCCGCCTTTGCCAGCGTCGTCGCCCGTCAGTCAAAGGGAAAGCTGCCACCGGTCACCGTCAAGGGCAATGCCTTCTTCGCCGGCGATGAGCGTTTCTACGTCCGTGGCGTTGCCTACCAGCCAGGTCCGTCTTTGTGTCACAAGGAATATAAAACCACGGTACTAACAGTGTTTAGGTGGTGCCGCCGACGCACAAGACCCTCTGCTCGACCTCGAGGGTCTCGCACGCGATGTCGAGAACTTCAAGTCGCTCGGCATCAACACTGTCCGTATCTACACCATCGACAACTCAAAGAACCACGATGAGGGTATGAAGATGCTCGACGACGCTGGTATCTACCTGGCGCTCGATGCCAACACGCCCGACTACTCTCTCAACCGTGAGAATGAGGACACCCTCCACCGCTCGTACAACGATGTGTACCTCCAGTCCGTCTTTGCCACCATCGACGCCTTTGCCGACTACAACAACCTGCTCCTCTTCTTTTCCGGAAACGAGGTCATCAACGCGAAGAACAACACCAACGCTGCTCCTTACATCAAGGCTGTCACTCGTGACATGAAGCAGTACATCTCCAACAGGCACAACCGTGTCATTCCCGTCGGATACTCTGCCGCTGATGTTTCGGAGAACATTGAGTTCCAGGCTCTCTACTTCAACTGCGGTACTGACGATGAGCGCTCCGACTTCTTTGCCTTCAACGACTACTCCTGGTGCGACCCCTCGTCTTTCACCCAGTCTGGATGGGACCAGAAGGTCAAGACCTACGAGGACTACAGCAAGCCCATCTTCCTGTCTGAGTTCGGCTGCATCACCAACACCCGTCAGTGGGGCGAGATCGAGGCTCTCTACTCCACCAACATGACCGGTGTCTACTCTGGTGGTCTCGCTTACGAATACACTGTTGAGCCCAACGGTTACGGTCTTGTCGAGGTCGGCGACGATGGCAAAATCTCGCCCAACGAGGACTTCGAGCGCCTCGCTGAGGCTTACAAGAAGACTGCTAACCCCTCCGGCGCTGGTGGCTTCAAGGAGAACGGCGAGGCCTCTGAGTGCCCTTCCGAGTCTGACGAGTGGCAAGTCGAGGGCACCACGCTCCCTGCCATTCCCAGCAAGGCTATGGCGTTCATGGATGAAGGTGCCGGTGAGGGTCCTGGTCTCGAGGGCGATGGCTCGCACTTCTCTGGTGAACCCAGCGAGTCTACTGCTACCCCCGGATCTGGAAGCCCCACTCGCTCGCCCACTCCCGGCTCCAGCGGTGGTGCTGGCAACCCCGAGGGTGCTGCTGCTGGTCTCGACGTACCCCTCCGTTTCGTCGCTATGATCGCTGCCAGCGCTCTCTTCGGTGCCGCCATTGTATTCTAGGTGGCTCGTTGCTGAGATGTGCAAAGCTTGTGTCTTTCAGTGAGCATGCATATGGGATAGATGTAGAAGAATCGTTTTACTTGTTTCTGGAGTTTTTGACTGCCATAGTCGGCATTGTATATACCTCGGTCGTCACAGATGCGGGGTCTTTTGTGTAGTAATACATACATACATGAACACGCTGCTCGTTCCTCCAACAATTAGTCTGACTTCGGAAAGTGAATGTCGACTAGTTGATGTTTGCTGGCGTTGGCGAAGTGTGCCTGTCAAACATGACCCCACCAATGTGGATGCGATGCAGAGAGGCTAGCGGCGTGGACCCTGGTTTCGAAGGCAGCAATGGAAGCTTCCATGGTTGTGATTGTACCAAGACCAACTTCTTTCACCAGCATTCGAGAGCAAGCCTCTATAAAGGCCGTCGCACCTCTTACCCCGCTTTACATTGCTTCCACGCCTATTCTTTCGCTCAACTAGACCTTACCCCGCCATGGACGACGCCCGCAAAGGCGACGCTGCTCTCAGCGCGAGCAAACCTGAGGAAGCGATTGAACACTACACCAAGGCGCTCGCAGTCAACACCACGGCCGTCAAGTACTACATCGGCCGCGCGACAGCCTACCAGCGCACTGCCAAGTACGCCGAATCCCTCCGCGATGCCGAACTCGCCGTCGTCCTTGCAAAGAAACGCGGCTCGCGCGAGCTCATCAAGGACGCGCAGTTCCGACGCGCCGTCGCTCTGTTCCACCTCGGAAGATACGCAGATGCCGACCATCTGCTGAAAATCGTAAAGGGCCTTGACGAGAAGGACAAGATGCTGCCCATTTGGGAGTCCAAGGTTGCAACAAAATTGAAGGATGTACCAGAAGACGACGAGATGAGGAAGGTCACCGTCAAGGAGACTCCGGAGGTCGATGTGCCCAGCGCACCAGTCTCTGCCGCCCCAGCGAAGGCCGAGCAGCCCACCCCGTCCCAGGCCCTGAAGCCTGTCGCCCCAACCCCGAAAGACAAAATCAAGACCGATTGGTACCAGTCGCCCGAAACCGTTACCCTCACAATCATGGCCAAGGGTGTGGCCAAAGACAAAGTCAGCGTAGAATTCGAGGAGAGGTCCGTGTCCGTCGCATTCCCCACTGCCGACTCGTCGGATTACAGCTACAGCGCCGACCCTCTATACGAAAAGATCGACCCTTCACAATCGAAATATCGAGTCACACCCACCAAGTTGGAGATAACAATGCGCAAGGCAACCACGGGGCTGAAATGGCATGATCTTGAGCACCCCGACGGCGACGTTGGCTCTGCTGAAGCATCCACTATTTCTCTGCCCGACCGCACAACCAAAGACACCGCCCCTGCATACCCAACGTCCTCCAAGTCAGGTGCGAAGAATTGGGATAAGGTCGTGGTGAACGATCTCGACGACAAAGACGAGATTGAGGGCGACGAGACATCACACTTCTTCAAGCAGCTGTACAGCGGCGCCACCCCCGAGCAGCAACGAGCTATGATGAAGAGCTACTCGGAAAGCGGCGGCACAGTCCTTAGTACCGACTGGAGTAACGTTGGCAACAAAACCATAACTCCCGAACCACCCGAGGGCATGGAGGCCAAGAAATACTCGGGATGATTGTTGCCTTGCGACAAGAGCATAGGTGTTTGCCTTATAAGTTGAGGATAACGTTTCATGATATGATGCATAGCAGGGTGTTTGGGTAGGCATTAGGAGTTATACCCACAAGACTGAGCGCACGTAAGAGCCGTATACGTGGATTTTGTACTGAAATGAAAATATTTCCCTTCGACAATGCAGCCACCTGTGAACATTTACCAACGATAAGAGGATATTTGACGCGTCCAATCCGAATCATCCAAGCATCTATACTGTTACGATCTCCGTCGTACATCGTAAAGATCTTGGCAACTAAAGCATTAGGAACAATTGCGGGGAAATTGAACTGTGTTCGTTACCTCGCGTTGCGTAAGCACCGAAAGATCCGAGCTGACATTTCTACGTTGAGCGGAGGTCCGCAACGGAGGGGTGGACCCAGAGGCGAGACAGGGTTCCCCATAGACGTCATAGCCATCGCATCGCAACTCGGACTTCGCGCTTCTCATATTTGCGACACCTAAACACATAAGGATGCAGTATCCTAGACTCGTCAATCGTCCTGCTAAATACGTTGACCTTGAGGCAGGCTGAATAGCTCTCTTGTAGATGTTCGCACATACTGCACGCGCATTGTCGACCATCCACAAACTGAGCTTCTATTCATCGTCAGCATACAATCATATTCCACGATTACAAGAACGCGGCCTTACGCGTTCACTGAGAGCCATGGCTACCGGTTCAAAGGTTCATCTTGAGGCTTCGCAGAAGCCCCAGTTCTACGTCAAAGAACTCAAGGCTGAGAGCGCAGAAAAGGCGAGCCAGCTTTTACAAGTCAACCACGAGAAGCATCACATCTTCTTCAATCAGAGCGGGTTCCATGTAAGATATGTCAGTGACATCAGCACGTATCAAGGCTTACCGGTCCATTTAGAACCACATCGCCCATCATCTCCTCACTCTGTTCGCGCTCAACGCTTCGCCAGAAGAACTCCAAAAAGCATACGACGCAAATGTATCCTATCAACGCCCATCGGAACCGCTCGAAAAGGCCATCGTCAATGACATGCACAAGCCCGAGCGCTTCAAGTCCTACCTCGGGCAAGAAAAATACTACCACGACTTCCTTGTCTACTTCCAACAAGAGATAGACAAGAGCGGGTGGCAAAGCGTACTGCAGGAGCACCTATTTGCTGAAACCGAACTTGCAGATGATATGCTGGCGCGCATGTTTGCTGGGTTTCTGCATCCCATCATACATCTTGGTTTTGGCATCGAGTTCCAGCAGCCCGCCATTATTGCGGAGGCGCTAGCGCAGGCCGCCGTACACGATAACTGGATAGCATCGCTGTTCTTTGGGTGCGAAAAGGCTGCTAAAGAAAGCAGAAGCAACGACGGACCCAGGAAGACAATCGTGCAGATACTGGAGGAATGCAGGAAAGACGACAAGTTGAGCAAAGCCGCGCACTGGGACGATGGGAACAAGGTTCGAGATGGAATCATCAAAAGAGCGCCTGAGGAGATGATCAAGTATGCGGCGCAGTATACCGTCAAAGAAGAAGAACTAGAGGAAAAGACCGCTGAGATGATCAACGCCGTGGGTACGTTAGCAGCCCATCTCCTTCCCCATCCCGTTCCATACTGTTCCATCAACATCACACTAACACGACTCAACAACAGTATACTACACCGCCGCTGCGCAACGTCCACCCCATCAAGTCAAATTCGACTTCTACTTTATCCACTGCCTAAATTCGAGTATCTTCTTCTCCGCCTTCCTGTCTCCCTCTTCCTCCCTGTCTCCAGCGATCCAACGCCGACTTCTAGAATGGAAGATCTGGATGGATATCGCAATGTACGTTTCGCGCGGCTGTCCAACTCTCCTCGTGAATGAAATCACCGACTACGCGCCCACGAAGGATAGCGGTATGGACGAAGTTATTAAGAGGGTGAATAATGTGGAGGATGATGGGCATACCTGCAAGATTGTGAGGGCAATTGCAAATGCCGAGGCGGTGTGCAAGAAATGGGAGGGGAAAGTAGGAGTGTTGGTTCAAGGGGATATGTGGAGGAAGTTGGGGCATATGGCTGTGGATAGTGTGGAGGCGGGTGAGCCGCATTGGGTGAGGAGTTGTGGATTTGCGGAAGCTTGGGAGAAGATTCCGTTGAGAGATGGGGCTAAGTTGTGATGGGGTAGGAGGGTGGATGATCACTTGCATGAAGATGGAGATGTGCATCGCGATACTGCACAGAGTAGAATGGATGCCATGTCTGCCCCTCACGGCACGGCCCTAGCGATTTGCTTTGAGGATGACGTCTTCTCCTCCTTTCATCACAGCAGCCCTACATGAAGCATATATTTGAATGACATATGAAGCGCATTGTCAGTGCAACCGTCAACGGAAGGGAAGCACGTCTTCGGATGCAACGTTCTCCTAGGCCAGCCCGAGCTCATTTCACAGGGCAGTATACGCTACGTCGGATCGATCGATCGAACCAAAAGAATATCAAAAGATCACTTCCTGCCTAGGGATCCACGGTCAATGCAAACCAGCGTGGACGTGGGAGAAGGGCGACATGCGATGTCACGGTGAGTGATGTGCTGTGCGGGCCGCCCATGCACACATCCCTTCTCCCCTTGGTGTATACCACATAGTCTTCCCCAGGTGTCGCAGATCCGCGGCTCGGGCAAGGCATGTGGCGGCGGCGCAGGTAGCAGCAAGGAGCAACGTAGTTAGTCACACTATCTGTGGAACAATCGGGCGCAGGACTCGTGGATCATCATCGAGGGGTGCCCTATCGATACACAGCTTTCCTTGCTTGATCTGCGTGCCTTGGGTGACAAATCTTAGCACATCCGGCAGACATGACGGTGGAGTTACACATGCTGATCCTTGCCTCGCACAACCCCCAACGCAAGTCGAGGGTAGCATGAGTTTGACATTGTTCCAGAAATTCATGCCTTGAAACGTTTTCGGACATGCTATGGGGGTTTGGCCAATAGGAGAGGCGGGGTACCTGAGCGAAGGCGTGTTTTACATATCTGCCTGAGAATGTCATCAAGGATCTGGGTTTGAGCGCAGTGTTGTGTTTGTAGGCGATGACAGGAGGGGAGGTGTGAGACGAGTGACAGGTTAATCTTGGAGCAGCCTCGTTCGTGCTGCTGCGATGTCCCTGAGTGAGGGCGGGGCGCTGCGCTCAGCTCTTGCAGGTGTAGTGCCTTGCTCCTGCCGGTATAGTGCCTGCTCCTGCTGGTGTAGTGATTGCTCCTGCTGGCATAGTGCTCAACTATACGAGCACGAATATAGTTCTGCACTATTCTCGTCCCACAGTCCCACCGAGTAGTTGGTGTGTTTTCGTCTCATGTCCTAGCTCAAGGAGGCTGAGAAGAGGATCAGCTTCGCATGAGCGCGCGAGAATAGCACCGGCAAATCACAGAACAGGAGATAGTTTAGCCAGGCGCAGCACATGACGCCGTGGTGAGCGCTACTGCAGGAACGAAAATTCACTATCGATAGGCTGTATGGAGCCGGGGCGGGAATTACAGCACACGAGGCGAGGGGCGTGGCGCTTATGCCTCGCGTCCAACCACGGCGTGCGCTCGTGAGCAGCGAGGTCGTGAAGAAGGTTGTGCGATGCTGTGCCGCACGAGGAGGCTGCTTTCGGACCACAGGCAGGACGCCGTGTCGTGACAAGTCACCACCAAGCGACCAAGCAGAGTAGCGAAATGGCGAACGAGAGTTACGCTTCGCCGCGTTATTGCCGCGCCGGTTGGAGCCAGTTGGCGCAATCTCGCTGTCCCGGGGTCCCGCGCGAATGGAGGCAGACAGCCGCTCACCGACTACTACAGAGAGGGGGCCAGCAGTGGCAGCGTTGTTTTGGCGTGGTGCGAACAGCCGCCCCTATCGTAAAAGAAAAGGAGGTTTATCGCGATGACATAGACGCCACTGCCGACACCCGCATTGCAATTGCGATGTGCCATTTCAGTGGGTCGCCATGATGTCGCCGCCGCCGGTGCAGCACTTCGGGACCGTCTGCCAGTGGGAGCGGCGGCCTGTGAGATTGCGATGCTGCAACGGGCCACGGCTTGCCGCCAATTCAGGTACCCAGACTACCTATACCAAACAAAGACGACAGCAAGCGATGATCCGGCCTCATTGTGGCACGCCGGCCGGTGTTACGTGCGACTACCTACCGAATACGCAGATGAGCCAGGTGCGCGCAGGTGGAGTAGATCGCCCTGGACATGAGACGTTGGAGCAGCAGCGTCGACGACGGGAGCGGCGCGGATGCTTCACGATCACCACCATCACCAGCGCCGCCTCCACACAATGCGGCTCCTCGTCGTGCCCGATTCATTTGGGCCTGCAAGGCTGCCGGCCGGTACTCAGCTTATCCATGTGAAGGATCCCCTAACTGACATGTTTCAGCTTACTGTTCCTGGACTAGCGGCCGGTGCGCAGCGCCTCACGGTCCAACGAGAGCATGGCAGCACGCTCCCAGGACGTCCCATGCTCCACGTACTAATCTAGGGTTTCACCTCGCTAAACCAAAGTATGCCTTCATCTCCCCTAAAAGAAGCCTCTAGCACCGTTCCAGCGTGATAACCGCCCGTTTCCCCATCTCTCCCGTCCTTCTTTTACTGCGTCCTTTCCTTCGCCCTGTCACTCCTTTGGCACCGCCAGCAACATTCGCTACCCATCCAACTAGTTGTCTTCGTGACAACGCTACACTCCTTTCTAGGTCTATCTTCTTGAAGCGCAGGAGAGTCCTGGCGCCTGAGTTATTCACTTCGTCAACCTACTCGGAAGCGACTTCGAATCCCCTCCGACCAGCACAGTGAAAAAAGCACTCACCTTGTCTCAACAACCGACCTTCTCGCAAGACTACTCAACCACCGACTCCCCTCCCAATTCAAGTCGACCGACCATTCAACCATGAAGTCTTTCGCACCCTTCTACGCGGCGGCCGTCCTCTCCGGCACTGCCAGCGCCTTCTGGCGCATGCCCTGTACCGACCGCACTGCGCTTGCGCGTCTCGACCCCATTGTCGACGAGGGAACTGCTTCCTCTCACAGCCACACCATCCACGGTGGAAGCAGTAAGTGAAGACCGCCCCCTCCTGCTTCGGCCCTCTTGGCAAGGCGTATGATGAGTGAGCATGTGTTCTGGATTTGTCAGGGAACATCCAAACAAGGGGACCCCAAGATGACAAGGTCCACGCGAATCATTCATGCAACGACTCTCCATATGGGCGCCTGAGGCAGGGGCTGTTTCGCGGATAATACAGTTTGCTAACGGCCGACAGACTTCGCCGAGACGACCACCTATGACATGCTCCGTAAGTCGGAGTGCACCTCGTGCCAGTTCGACGACGACAAGTCCGCCTACTGGACCCCTTCCCTCCACTTCGTCCACGAGAATGGCAAGACCGAGATCGTTCCCCAGATCGGTGGTATGCTCGCATACTACCTTCTCATCGGCGACAACCTGGAGGCTTTCCCTGAGGGCTTCCAGATGCTCGCTGGTGACACACGTCTCCGCAACTTCACCGGTCCCGTTCCTGACCCGCCAACCTCTTCCTGGACTGCGGACGACATGACTCAGCTGTCTCTTGGCCAGAAGGCCATCGGCATGAACTGCATGAACTACGGCAGGGCCCCTGAGGGCTCGCGCTACCGTCATTTCCTCCCTGACAAGGAGTACATGGACGAGAACTGCGCTGACGGTATCCGTGCTGAGATCATGTTCCCTTCGTGCGGCAACGGCGATGCGACCGCTCCTGACCACAAGAGCCACATGGCCTACCCCAACATGGTCGACGGTGGCGAGTGCCCTGAAGGTTACAACAAGCGCTACCCTACGCTCTTCTACGAGACCATCTGGAACACCAACAAGTTCAAGGGCATGCCCGGTCAATTCACATTCTCCAACGGTGACCCCACTGGTAAGTTCACATGCTAGCTTTCTTACGAGCCAATTACTAACTAGAATCAGCCTACGGATACCACGCTGATTTCATCAACGGCTGGAACATCGATACCCTCCAACAAGCTGTCGAGACCTGCACCAACCTCTCTGGTCGCGTTGAGGACTGCCCTGTCTTCTCCGGAAGCCTCCAGACCCAGGCCGAGCAAGCCATGTGCAAGATCCAGGACATGCCCAAGATTCTCGACATCGACGACTGCGCTGGTCCTTCCAACGGCCTCTGCGGTAACGTCAAGGTTCAATACGGACCCGAGTACGCCTCTCCCCTCGAGGGAGGCGACAAGGACGACGAGGAGCCCGTCAAGCCCATCTCCTCCTCTGCTTCTGCCCCTGTCCCCACTCAGTCCTACGCTCCTGCCCACTCCCTCGGTGGCGGCGGTATCTCTGTCTACAACGTCGAGAGCCCTTCCTCCATGGTCACCAAGTCCTCCTCTTCCTCCTCCATGGCCGATTACGCTGCGCCTGTCGTCACCCCCATTGCCGACATTGCCAACGCCATGAAGGACGACGAGATTGTGTCCACCTCTACCTACACCAAGGACGGTGTCGTCTACGAGGTTGCCATTGTTGAGGTTGTCGTCACCACCACTGTTGGTGCTGACCGCCGCCGACACGCACACAAGCACCGCCGCGACCACGGTCACATGGGCCGGAACTAAGTCTTTACTTTTCAATGAAACAAAAAAGACTTTGACGATAAGGCACCCAAAGCATAAACGGTTCTTGCATGCACATCGGCGTTCTTCTACGACAGCACACGACGACAATAGAGGAGACACTTGGTCCCTCCTGCCTAGCTTCTAGCATCCCTTCCTCTCGGCCCTCCATTGGGGGCAGCCGGGGTTCGCGCGGATTGACATCACTTGGCAACACACCTAGCTATGGCGAGGGCAAAAACCTTTTTCTTTGTCTGATTCCCTTTACCTTTCTGTACCATTCTGTTTTGAAACTGTTGGGTTGGTGTGTGTTTGGGGAAGGCTGTAGGAAGGCTGAGCCAGATCACAGCTTGTGCCCCCTTGTAGGGACAAGAAAGAAAGTGGATCTTAGAAACAAAGGAGAGATGTAGATTTGCGCACGATACCATTGAATCTGTTTTTTGCTTTGTTATGACGACGTGTGTCTGATCTATGCCTTGTAGTGTGTGCGTTGGTGAGTCGATTGACCTTTGCCTGTTGGGTCTGTGGTGCTGTCTCGACTTGATACTTGTTTATGACTGTTACTTGAGCATTCAATGCGCAAAGGTACGTACATGTCTGCCATGCATCTACCTATCCTCTTGTTCCCCAAGGTCAATGCGACTTGATCATTCGTTCGAGCCTCCTCATGTATCAACGTCGGCCTCACTCGCTCGGCTACGTCGTCACTAGGTACGACTCGCAGTATTCAACCACAGACATATATCTTTGTCTACTCATGATGCACTGGGTACGAATAGATTGGCACCAACGTATAACGGAACATCGTTTGCATCCAGTGCCTTGCAACTGCGTCGACAACTTTGTAATTATCCACGATTCATGCAAATCGAGATGACCAGCTTCTGGTAATGGTCATTTACGTAGTGTTGTCCGAGCAACATGTCCAGCATCACCGTTCGGTCACCGAAAAATCTTGAAACACGATGCGTTGTCCGGTACGAGACATGAGAATCAACCGCGGGGAGCTGACTTCTGTACACGTATCCGCTGCAGTATCGCTATCGAGTGAACCAATCCCCCTACACGTAACAAGCATTTGCTCCTATCTTAGCAAACTAGCACGGTTTTGTGGGCTTGACTAAGATTTATTTCCACAGATTGAAGCCTTCCTCTTTCGTTGTATTCACTATCTACGTCGCAGAGAGCGCACTACCTAGCCATGACTACTGCCTTCTAGGCTTCCTTCCACGCACCTAGAACCCCTCTACTATAAAAGCACGAGCGACCTACAGCTCTATAGTCTTTCCACAAAGTTCAACAACCCAGGACAAAAGTACCCATACACTTATTGTGCGATGGACTTCTCGCGCTTCCAGGCCATTGTGTCGGAGTTTAACTCTACTGGTAGCAATATCACCAGCGGCAGCATCCCGTCGACCGTTCTAGAGCTGTTTATTCCAGGCTACAGCACTATTGCGCATCTAACATCTCGCTACCTTGGATTCGACATCGGAGTCTTTGTGACATTCTGGCTAGCCATATTGGGCTTTTACTATGGAGGCACATTTATCTACGACAAGATATGCTACTACTTCTACTTATATAATTCGGCATCCATCGCGATCGATGAGTCCGACGTACTGTTCGACCACGTCATGAGCTGGATAGCAGTGCAGCGCATGACGACGTCTAGTAGACATCTGACTGCAGCTACGCAATGGGTTAGCGAAGTCGAAGACATAGGCGGTGACGACGATGTGCTGGACGAACGCGGGATTTTCAACTACGAGAAGTGGTCGGGTAATATACCGCCGATGTACCAACCTAATTACGGTCATTATGACTTCCGCCACGAAGGGCGATGGTTCAGTTTTGCGCGGGTCAAGAAGAAGGACGATAAAAGAATCACCGAGTTTGATGAGGAGATTATAATCACCTGTGTGGGTAGGGATGCGCTGCCTGTCAAGGAGCTCATCGTGTACATTAAGAGGTGGAGCCTTAACAAAGCCAACACGCTTACCACGATCTACCAAGCGCCTGGACAGAAGCACAGTGGGGAACGGTACTGGAAAGAGTCGTCCAGACGTCCATCGCGACCACTGAGTACCGTATCGCTAGACTTACAGCAGAAAGGCGCAATTGTTGGAGATATCAACGAGTATCTCAACCCTTCTACAGCACGTTGGTATGCGGCACGTGGGATACCACATCGCCGTGGCTATCTCTTCCATGGACCCCCGGGAACGGGCAAAACGTCGCTGTCGTTTGCTCTGGCCGGCATCTTTGGGTTGAACATATACTGTCTCTCGCTTAATGACGGAATTTCTGAGTCGGAGTTAAGTGCCCTGTTCAACGACCTTCCTAGTCGGTGCTTTCTTCTCCTTGAAGACATTGACGCTGCGGGCATCAGGCGTGAAGGTCTTCCGCCTCAGGTTGTGGCCATGGAGGATGCCACAGCCATTACTGAAGCAATCAAGATCGAGATACAGAACCCTCCGACGAGTGTCATATGGAAGATGTTCGGCATTTTCGCGTGGCCTTTCAAGGTTGCCTTGCTATTCTTCGGCTATCTTCGCAAGCCTGTACCGCATGAAGAGCCGGCGAAAGAGGCCCCTGCTCCAATGTTGCCCAAATACACCCCACAGGAAGAAGTCAAAGAAGAATCCAGTAACTCATCATCGCTATCATCGTCAGGAAAGATAGCCTACACAGAAGCGTCAGGAGGAGCTCAAGGATCGATCAGTCTGAGCGGACTCCTCAACTGCATCGATGGCGCCGCTTCTCACGAGGGCCACGTGCTCATCATGACTACTAACACCCCAGAGAAGCTGGACGACGCCTTGACCCGACCAGGTCGCGTCGACATGCAGATTGGTTTTACGCTCGCCACGCGCGATCAGATTCGCGACACGTACATGCGCATGTTCAGCAACGATAACCCCACACCCAACGTTACCCAGGCACCCAAAGTCACAACGAAAAGCCATATACCTACACAGGGAGCAAAGAAAGACCGGCTCGGCGATATTGTTATTCCTAAGAAGTCTATCGCGGCCGTCGTGGAGCCGGACAAGCTAGCGGAGATGGCACAGCAGTTTGCTGATGCATTACCGGAGAAGGTCTTCTCGCCGGCGGAAGTCCAGGGCTATCTGTTGATGCACAAGATGGATCCAGGTAAGGCGATAGAACAAGTGGGTAAGTGGAGAGAGGAGACGCTTGAGGCGAAGAAGAAGGCGAGCAATGTTGTTGCTGCTTGAAGCGAGGTTGAAACTGAGGATACAACCACGAATGATTTCCTGGTATCGTCCACGAACGGCCGAGGTTATTCCCAGTAGCAACGCCCATATGTGGCACATGTAAACCAGTGATGAATGTCTTCAGCAAACCTGCCAACAGTTTCATGTGTACTGTGTTGCAGCTTGTACATGGCGATATCTGCAATACAGTCTTCTACCCTCCACAGAACGGGTAGCTGCATGTAAGCAGCACCTGAACGTGGCTATGTGTTATGATCCGATGAGATAGGCCGTAATGCGATCGTAAGATTCGGTCGACGTGTTGCTGAGCAACGCTGCGATGTATCGAGAGGCAGGATCGTTGGGAAGCGGACATCGTGTCCTAAAGGTACGTTTGCGGGTATCGGGCGTTGCGGACTTCAGCGTAGGCGTGTAGTGCCAGCGGCTTGACAGAGTGCTCAGTGTGATCTTGTCTTAGCTGGACATGTGTATGTGACGTTCCCAGATTGACTATGGCCATGACACCGGGTCGGTACATCTTTTCTGCCCAAGGGGAATTGGGGCATGGCTGGTTGCAACGACCAAAAACTGAAGAGTTCCTTCCAACAACACTGTGGGAGCAGCAACAGAGGCTCGATCGCTCCCTGTTACACACCGTTCATCAGACTTGCTCGTGGTGCGTCATTCGCAGTCCTGTACAGTTACGCAAACCCACCTTTGCGTTGCGCAAAACAATTTGGTGGCTTGCATTATCCCTGGCAGAGGGATCTCGATGCAGCAGCGTCATGCACCTTGCTCATGTCCCTAATCCCAGTAACTGTGCGGTTATGTCATGTCTGAGTGGCTTTCTGTCCTCAAGACCCAGCGGCTATGTCATGCCGTAAGTGGGTACGGCGCTGCGGCTGCTCTGGCGAAGCGGGAACCTCGCCTGATGACGAGGTCTGTTAAGGGCATTAAATGTGGTGGTGTGTTTGTCGATCGTTTTCGATGCCGATCTATTTCGAGAACGACTGTCCTGCCACCGTTTTCAAAAATAAGCGACATGACATCACATCTGAACAACGGGGGGTGGTCAGCGCTGTATTGACGGGTAGGAGTCTCGAAGAATCCTAAGGCAATATTGAACAGGCTCGAGCTGAGTTCCCGAAGTGACAGTTGCTGTAGCAGCGAGCTGGAAGGGAAGGCTTCTTGCGTCACTCGCATGCCCTTGACTCGTTCAGAGCTAAGCTCGACGCGAAACATCAGTCAGTGCCGATGACGATGAACTCGGCACATGTTCCGGATTGACGTTACTTCCCGGGACAGTTCCACTGGAGGTTTGGCATCCATGGTGATGCAAGCCGCAACTCCACGAGCGGCATCATAGCCCACAAAACGCGCAAACAGCCGCACCTCCCTGTGTTGTCGTGAAAACGTAGCGAGCAGCATCATGGGGCTCTAGCTAGGAAGCGTTGTGGGGTGGTCAAACCCGTCAACGTGGATGCAGATCTGCGGGTTGACATGACGTCCATTAGGCGCGGTTGTAAGAGGGCTAGAGCCGTCAAAGGGAGGTGGTTCCGATCCTCATACGGAGTCGCGATGTGTTGTGCGCGCTCGGTCTCAGAACGATGATGCGAATGGGAAAGTTGAGATGCGAATCTGGCAGGAAGGGTCTAGACGCAGGGTAGCGGCATCGGGAATTCGGCCAGGGGATCGGACATACTCGAAAATAAAGAACCACATCTTCGATTCGAACATGTCAAATAGGCAGCCGCTTCTAATTTGACAGGCAGATAATGCAGCGTGAAGATCATCTTTCGTGGGTCGCAACTTCTGTCATTTGCTTAGATTAATTGCACATTTTCGATTGGAGGGCAGGGTGATGATCACAAGCCTGGACATCTGGCCTCTGAAGATTCTGCGTGGATCTCCCCTCGTGGTCGTTCCAGCCTTGGGCGTACGAAGCCCAGAATACACAACCATACCCAGAGAGTTGCCAGCCTCGGTATCCTAGCAGTACGGCGCGCTCCAAGATGCCCAAGGCGGCAGCGTAATGAAGACATCGTGACCGGGCGGTACCTGCGTCGTTGGTGGCCGGGGCGGTTGGTAAAGACCCTGCATGACGATGGCAGTGGCTGAGATGAAGCCGTCACACGGACAAACGTCAGAAGTGACGATGTTGCGCCAGAACATGTTGCGCTGAGCGGTTGGGTGGGGGCTATGAACGCAACGGGTATGCGGTAGCGCGAGACCCTGCTTTTGCGAGCCCTCCGCTAGACCCGCTTATACATAGCCCATGCAGGAGCGCCGGGCCGATCTCTGCCGTACTAGGATAAGATGACGTTCTCTGGTACACGGAAACTTTGGGGCGCTGGAGCTTGGAGGGATCTTCCACTTTGCTGGGCTGCAGCCCTTGTGGAATGCGAGTTTCGAAGTTGAGCGAAGGAGGAGGTGTGACGTCGCTGGGCGGACTCGGTGCTCCACGAAGCGTGCAGACAGCCGTGCCGCTGGAATGTTGACATAGCTTCTGCGTCATGGCAGCTGGGTGAGCCTCACGGTGAGTCCGAAGTCGATAGCCTACTATGGGGAAAATAGCAAGCAACATGCGAAATCAACAGTTGCCGCTCGGCGGCTCTCAGACAGGACGCTGGGCATGTGCTGCCATGTACCGCCTGACCCTCAAGTCGCGACACCAGTCAACAGACGCGGTACGCCTATCCTCCGCTGTCAATGGCCAGCCAGCCCTGCTGCTAGAAAGTCCCCTAAACAGTTGTCCCAGCACCCCCGTCATTGCCGACATCATCAGCAAGCCCGGAAGTCGTGATGCCCAGGTACAAGGCCCACCGCAAACGGGGATGTGAGTATCGGAAGCCGGTGATTGGTGGACGAGGCCACTACAGCCCGACATAGAAGGACCCTGTAGATCTCTGATCGCAAGCCTCGAAGCTGGCGGCCCACTAGCGCGCTGGTCATGGTGGATCACTTCTTTGAGCCGACAGTCATGGGCCGATCTCTTGCCTTGCGCAGTCATGATGGGCCAAGTCGTTCCGTCCGCCTCTGTTGTGCGTGCGTTGTGAGACGCAGGAGGGTATATAGTTCGCACCCCGCTTGCTGATTCTCTAGATCCCATCAACAGCACCCAGCTCATCGATTCACATACAAATCCTCGATCTCCAGCACACCCTCCGCATACATCTTATCTTACTCAAGCCTCTACTATCTTACCTCTATCACAACTTCAATTGCACATCTACAACAATGTCTGCCATGACTGAGAACCGCCAACAAGTCTACGTCTCCGACGGCTTCTCGGAGCCCATGAGCGCTCAGCACAACTTTGCCAACAACTTCGACCTCAATGACCCCGACCGGGCCATGACTGACTACCAGAGGTATGTTGTTACTCTTGTACATGACTCGTATCAGTCACTAACAATACCAGGATCATGCACGAGCACACTAAGCGCCAACTTACTACTGCCACCGACTCTGCTCGTCGACGAAGCGGCGCATCGTCTTCCGACTCTGTCAGCTCCGCCAGCTCATAACAATCATTTTGATTGTACATTGCACAACCATCTTCATTTCAAGCGTCTGAGACGCTATTTGTATTAGCGATGCATGGTTAAAGATCACGCTTTGATCTGACTTTATTTACGAGAGCCTCTGGCGTTTGGGAGTCTACATATGGCTTTCGCCAATGGCATGCACGGCACGGTGTTGGATCGATTCAACGATATCCTCTTTATCTCAATCAATTCAACGTCTCTATCAGGAGATTCAAATCATCATTTACAATCACCCATTTTAGTGACATGTTCTTCCTACGTAATATTGGTGCCTCTTAGTTTCTGTGGTGGTCGTTCAACCTCCTTTCAACCTGTACCCGTGGCAACGTTGACGCGTGGACTTTGACCCTGGACGTCCTCGGTTCGACGCATTGACCTCGACGCCTCTCATCACGCAATTCCAAGGTTTCACCGGCCACCAACTTTCTCATGCTAGCCATTAAGCCACGATACTCCCTACTTCTGCAGCATGCACCTTCGTACATGCAGACGACTATAGGGTCTTGCCGTCTCGCTTGGTCACAGTTCACCGTGGTTGCAGCGGCTACTGCATGTCGAAACGGCTCGTGCGACCACCAATTATTCTCACTAGCCCCGGCCAGGACCCTGATTTATCAAAATGCACTAGTATCTTGCAGGATCTCGTCCAGAATCCCGTGATGCGGAAAGAAAAGCCGATGTAGTCCCGTTGAGGGCCAGGGAATTGCATGGTGCGAAGCTTGAATCTTGGAAGGAAGATGCAGGTGGGGCTGAAGGACCGAAAAGACACCCAGACTGTGGTAATGGGGTGTGGTTTCAGGGGAGTGCGAGCAAGATTTACATCACAGCCATCTGATGTAAGCAACACCGTACTATATGTCTTGTTTACAAAGGCGCAATGTGAGTAGAGTACCTAGGTAATGACAAGGCCTTTCGATCCGCTACTCGTTGTACAACCAGGAATTCCACATCCAGCTTCCTTGCGATCAATTTCGGAGACACCACCAGAGGCGCCGTTGACCAGGTCTTACAGCATGTTCAAGCTCTAGACAAAATTGCAAGAGAAGGCGGTTGCAAGCCGTTTTCAGGTTTGTTCCCTGCAATGGTTTGCACACGTGTTTGTGCTTCCAGCGCGACCCTTCCCAGGTCGAGCTCTGCACCCTGGATAACCACGCTGCTTTGATGCTGACGTGTCTCGGACTACCAAATTATCTGCAGACATAAGAAGAACAACTACAACGCTCATTTATGAGATATCAGCAGAAGATACTGCGGTACCTAGTATTCCACGTAGCGACCAATAGGCCAGCGCCTTAGCGCAACAAAAGCTTCGGTCATACAGCCACCGAGCCGATATCATAAATACTCCGAAGTTCTTCTGCCGACGAAGACTCGCGAGAAGAAGAATGGCGAGTAATTGTTGTTCTTGCTGCACGTGTCGCCATGCAACGAGGCCTCCAGAAGCAAGCCATACTGCCACGGGCCGAGCAGCTTGCCCGGATTGGCCGGATGTCCACGGCTGTCCCCACCAGTGACATCGTTGACAAGCTTCAATGCGATCTCTCATCAACCGTCAATTGTCACCCTTCAATCGCTTCGTTGAAGTCGCGCTTCGTCCATAAAGCTTCTGCATTGCTTGCTTTAATTTCCTGTTCGCTCTGCATCTTCCGTGTCGCGTCGCCTTCGTCATGCGCTCCTTCGCTCTTACCGCCAGTCTGGCCGCGCTCTGCAGCGCAGCACCATATGGGCAGCAGACGCCACTCAAGAACATACTCGAGAACACAGACAAGAGCGATAAATACACGTACCCAACGGATTTTACGAGGGAGATTATCCCCAAGCCGTTCCACAGCCATAATGATTACTGGCGCGATGTGCCGTTCTATTCGGGTCTGAGCCAGGGTGCTATATCGACAGAAGCTGATGTGTGGCTTCTGAATGGCACGCTCTACGTAAGCTACGCGTCGCGAATTCATCCGATACCGCTAATGAATGATAGGTCGGCCATGAGCCTGCTGCCCTTACCGACAAGCGCACTCTTCAGTCTCTCTATCTGGAGCCAATTCTCGACACTCTGCATCGCCTGAACCCGAAGACTCGATTCGTGCAGCCAGGCGAGCAGAATGGTGTATTCGACACCTCTAGCGGACAGACTCTTTACTTCTTCATCGACTTGAAGACTGCCGCCGATGAGACCTGGCCCGCTGTTCTTGAAGCCTTAGAGCCTCTGCGAAGCGGCGACTGGTTGACAACTTACGACGGAACCAATCTGCGCAAGAATCCCGTTACCGTCATTGGAACTGGAAACACCCAGCTTTCGGACGTTCTTGCGTCGTCTCCACGTGACGTCTTCTTTGACGCGCCACTTGCTGATCTCAACGACTCCAAATATGCCGACCTCACCGCAAACGAGTCACCAATTGCGTCCACAAACTTTGCGTCGTCCTTTGGCGAAGTGCGCAAGCGGGAGTTCAACGATACGCAGCTGGAGACGCTGAGGAGCCAGCTTGACATGGCACATGAGAAGGGCATCATGGCCAGGTATTGGAACCAGCCGGCGTACCCGATCGGTACGAGAAACGCGGTTTGGCGTATTCTCTGGGACGAGGGCGTCGATCTGCTCAACGTTGATGATCTTGCGGCGGCGGCTGCCTTCTGGGAGGGCACTGGTTAATGAACTAGATGTATCTGGGCTACACAAAGCTATATGCACATCAAAGTACATAGGTATATAAGTAATTATCAAGGCCATCCAATGATGAATTCATGAAAATAAGCAATTGCTCGCAATGGTTCGTCGCGTGAGGCACACGTTCGCAGCTCGCTTAGTGCGGCTCTTTCTGGTTCCTGCAGAAGCTCATCCCTGTAACCCCGGATTACGTACTCGCCCGAGATTTTCCACATGCCAGTCATCTCAGCAATTGCGTTCTAGATCCCATCTCATATTCTTTGTCCTCATCAGAGACTACCCGGCAGACATCCTCACCACCGTCTTTCCACATATATCCGTCACCTACGTACGCGGCTGTGCCGGGACTCGCTTGCATAGCTATAGCCGGCCGCTCTTTGTTCAGAGAAACGTTCACGTCGCGTTTCATCGCTAGGGAAGGGACCTGCAAGCTTGCGAGCATCTGTCATCAAGAGTAAAGTCGCAAGGACTTTGGGCCAGCTCCTCCGACTTTTGAGAGCTGCTCCAAAATTGTGCGACTGAGAAAGAGCTAGGAATTCGGTGGTTACGTCATAGCGAAGATGTTTCCTCCATCGCAAGGCTTGCGACTGGACATTGATGCCATCAGTCAGATATTTGGTTCAATAAGCATCGCATGCTGGATAGGTACGTGGGATACAGCTTCTCGTACTGCTACGTGCTGTGCAACGCGCTTGCCTTGTGTTGCTTTTGCATGGCTGTTACCTCGGCACGCCGGAGCTAACGTGTGCGACAGTTGTTTTCTCACCTCAGATTATCGAGAATTGGAAGAGAGGCTCAGCGGAGGGCCTTTCAGTAGTCTTCATCGTAGTATGGCTACTCGGCGACTTCTTCAATATCATAGGCGCGGTGCTGCAAGGTGTCCTGCCAACGATGACCATATTGGCCGTGTATTACACTCTAGCCGACATCGTGCTGCTGCTACAGTGCTTCTACTACAAGGGCTTTACGTTGCGCGATGAGTATAAGAAACCCGCCGATGAATCCGACACGGATAGCGAAGTTAGTGAGCAGTCACCGCTTCTACCTCATCGCAGACCCCAGTCGAGCGGCTCACCCTATACAAACGGCAACGGCCATGGAATCGAAGTCCAGAGACCGCGCATTTCGGATATCGATCGCCGTGGCTCAGGCCATTCCCAAGGGTCATTCCGTGAGCGCTATCTCTCCATTGACGGCACGCATCTCTCGCCTGTCACACCGCTCCACGATGACTCAACTGCTGCACATCAAAATGGCGCAGTTACAGCCAGGTCTCAGCCGACCCAGTCCAGTCTGCAAACGATCCTCTTCAATCTTGGAACCATAGTTCTTGTATGCGCGGCCGGTGTTTTCGGTTGGTATCTTAGCGCACGAAACTCCACCGCTCCCAGCCAGCCCGACGGCGAGGACTCATCACCCGAATCAACCCTGCACTTCAACCTTTGGGGCCAGGTCTCAGGTTACGTTTGTGCCGCGCTTTATCTTGGGTCCCGCGTCCCACAGCTCCTGCTCAACTACCGCCGCAAGTCGACCGAGGGCATCAGCATGTTGTTCTTTCTGTTTGCTTGCCTGGGTAACCTGACGTATGTTCTGAGTATCCTGGTATACAAGCCCAAGTGTGGGGGCCACGTTTGTCAAGATGGGGAGGGACGCGCTGAGTACGGCAAATACATTGCGGTCAATATGAGCTGGCTGTTGGGCAGCTTTGGCACATTGTTGTTGGATGCCGGCGTGTTTGTGCAGTACTTCTTGTATAGGGTGGACGATGATGAGAGTGATGAGGAAGAGTAGACAGGTTCTACGTCAGGTGTCAAAAGTGTATTGAAATGAGCGTTTTGGTACATGCATGACGATTGATCATGCGGGCAGTGCGTGCACAGCCACGAGATTGTATATTATACATAGCGGCGTCTGTTGGGACAGCTGATTCCTTCTTTAGGAGTCTAATCGGTGCCTGGAGTTGCTAAATGCTTAGTAGTCTCGACTTCCGACATCAAGATACGGGATTCGCCCGGGTTCGTTTGCGGCCGACTGGCTACGTGCCACGCGCATTCGACGCCTTGGGCTGGAATACGTGCGTTTGCTAGAACGCCAGAGTAAATTCAATCAGAATTCAACAGAATTTAAGCATCTCATCACATTCCACTCCTCTTCATCAGTATCTCGAAACAACATTATCTTGCTCTCTATCTGCGACGTGACAGGCAACCACCGGAATTGGGCAACACAACCATCATGCCCACTAACAAGCACTTGAAAAGTTCGTTGAGTTCTTTCTCCCTATGCAGCAGAGTTTTTACTAACATCTGCAGGCATTGTCTTCTGCGCCGCCGCGAAAGTAGAAGCAGACATACACACCTACCCCACACGCTTCCACGACATCGAAGAAGTCAAAGAGTACATCAACACTACCTGCAAGCAGTCTGGGAACCAGTACATCACCACCAAGCAGTTCTTGACGAAGCAGGAGCTGGCATATGTCAAGGACAAGGTATGCTTCGTGGTAGCCTGCAAGGCTTTCAAGCAAGGAGAGTTCTACCTGGAGGTCGGACTGGTGGACCGGTCAGCTCTGAGAGGTATGCTTGTTACGATTCCATGCTTTGGACCTCCCAAACTCACATGCAACGTGTTTTAGCGGCCGTTGAAGCAGACATTCGACGCCTCCTTCCTCTCGTACCTTATTGGCCCCACTTATCCGGTGTGGACGATGCTCTCGTACACGTCGACAGTGTTGCACGTTGGAAAGGCTTCGCATACACAGAGTTCAAAGGGGTTGAGAAGGACAAGTTTCGGCGTTACATAAACTTCAATACTGTGAGGCATGCTTTTGAAGATGGTCGCTTTGAGATGGATGTCCCCGGTGAGGATTGGCGGTGCCGAAAGCCCAAGGGGTCAAAAGCGCCTGGGATGAAGTTGACTACGATGAACGGTATGCCATCTCATTTTTGGACGCTTTATGCTACACTAACTCATTAGATAGGAGCTATCGAAAGCGACATTAAAGAGCTCTTCACCCGCATCCACACATGGCCAACAGCCTTCTCCTCCCTCAATGCGGCTCGAGACTACGTTGCCGGTTACTCGCGCTGCATCCATTTCTCATACACATACTGGCCTGACATTGAACCATTTCGCTTCCGGAAGATCGTCAACTTCAGCACGGCAAAGCTGGCGTTTAAGCGGGGAAAGTTTAAGATCTGGGAAGGATATGAGGAAGAAGAGGAGTCTGATGATACGGATGAAACTGCCGTCGAGAGCACTCAGGTCAAGAAGACGGAGAGGGAGGTCTCTACACTGGCGTATCGGAACCGTTCCACCGGGTCTACTGTGACCCCGCCTGTCGAGACACCCGTCTTTTCTACTACCACCGCCTTCGGAGACGCTATCGACACGATCAACACGGCGATTGCGGATACTACTGTTGATGATGTGCCAGACTTGCTGCTAGAGGAGCTTCCTGAGTCCATCAGGATTGTAGGAGAGAAATGTCAGGAGCCTGCCATGTCACCTCAGGAGACTATTACGCCCTTTCTGGTTGAGATCGATGAAGATCCGTTCAAAGTGAGTGTCTCTTGGTATCATTCTGGACATTTGCTAATTATCCTCACTGCAGGACCTCATCGCTGTCTTGAAGCGTGAGAGCATCCTCAAAGCGGCTTTCGAGTGACGCAAGCTGGAATTGTAGTATACTGAATCGTGTGGAGTGCTATGGATGTGTGGATCAAAAAGTTGTCTCTTATGTTTGTACAGTACTGTATCTGTAACTGGTCGATGCTGGTGGCGATGTTGACTATTGGTACATCATGTCATATTCAGGCTGCCATAGCATTACTCAGATATCTCTGAAAGCAAGTCCACCACACCCTTAAGTTTCATCACTGCTCTCCTTCTCGTTGTCCACAATATCAATCACATCATCCATCACAGTCTCCTTGCCCTTACCCTTCCCAGCTTTCTTCGCCTTCATCTTGGCAATTTCGACCTCAATACCCATGTCGACTTCCCTCCTCAGGTTCTTGTAGAGCCCCATCTTGAACAAGATCTCGTACCACACGAACAGCGGTGCTAGAAACAGGGCTTGGACGAGGTTATCTAGCAACGCCGGCTTCCGTCCCTCGAATTTTCCGTGTCCTACGAATTGTAGTATCCAGCTCACGACATGAATGGCGCCGGCAATGCTGTTGACTTTGGTCTTGTTGTAGCGTTGCGTGAGGCGGTTGGAGAGGGATGCGAAGGCGAGGATTATGGGGGTGACGGTGACGCCGGCGAGGTTGGGGGAGAGCATGAGGTATAGCGTCGAGTATGTGGCCGCGGCGATGGTGCCTAGGTTTAACGGGAGGTTGAGGCGCGTAAGCAGCGGGTGCTGGCGGATGGGCAGGGTGGGTGTGTTGGTGCCCTAGATGGTCGGGTCAGTCAGCGATCTATCCTGAGAGGACGGAAGGATAGGATGGCGACGCACAAACAAGATTCCCGTTGCGAGCAGGACGGGCACGCATGCTATGTGGATGGCGACATTGGTTGGATCGCGGTGGTATGCGCCATACTGCTCTTCGCATTAGCCAGCGAGCGCGCTCTGGGGCTGTACGGGCGCCATTACGAAGACGAGGTTCTTCTTCAGGTCAAAGACGGGCATCTTGATATTCGTTAAGCAGACGTGATGCTTTGCGACAAGGCTGATGAGGTACCCGCGAGGCGCCGGCGGAGGTGTTGTATAAGAGCGCGCGGGAGAAGCGGGGAAGTGGCTTCGAGAAGCGGATCCGACGTGCAAGTCAGGGGAGCAGCGTATGGGGGCAAGTCAACTTTAAGCCGGAAGACAGGAAAGGAAGAGGATATGCTCCGGGATCGTCGGGTTCCTGGAGTTCTGGGGTTACTGACGATCAGCCCACCCTCAGGGCGGCCACCGTGATAGCTGCGCTGGGGTGCATTGGCTGGTGGTTAGCTTCATGCCGAGGCTGACTGCCGAGGCACCTCCTGTCAGAGCCCTTCGGAGTTTGGCGCAGCATCCGAATAGCCGTTACGATGCTTCCTGGTGCATGTGAAAGTGGTTGATGGTGGTTTCCGCTAGCATCCAGACGCGCGCTGCGCTTGAGAAGCGCGTTTTTGTGGGGCCGCATGACGATAGGCGTCGTCTTGAGTAGTGGGGATTCTGACGGCGATCCGTCTCCACGACGAACGACTTCACATCGCCGTCTACCTTTGTCACGTCTTATCGGATGCCATCTCGTTAATCTATCGTTGTGGAACTCATCATATGTCAAGCGAGCGACGGGGAGAAGGAGCAATGCGGGACAAGCGATGTGTGCTATTATACCCACGAGGCACTCCGGTATTCATCGTGGTTAGTGACAGACTACAACGCCCAGTCGAGCGAGGTCGAGGGTATTAACAAGAAAGCGATAAGACCACATACCACCACCATTCACACGCCCTATTAGGTCACTGATCAGTCCTCTCCATGCGCCCAAACATGCTACGATTTGTGTACCCAGCATCACCACCTCCTCTCGCCTCGCGCTGCACTCCATTCCAAAGTTGACTAGACCTGCTTCTCGCCTCGGGGCGCCGCTCGAACATAAGCATCCGGCTTGGCCAGCCCCTTTTTGCGAAGAATGTACGTGTTCCAAGCGTAGCTCATCTGCGCTGTCACGCTTACAGGTGGGCGCTGGTCGCCAAACTTGTAAAGCTGAGGCTTGGAGAGACCCTTGCGACGGAGTATGTACGTCTTGAACCACCAAGGCAGGTTCTTGCCAGCTTGGTATTTCATGTGAGTGCGTGTAGGGACACCGAAAATGTAGTCGAGCTCTTCAAGCGTGCGCTGCTTGGTTTCCGGTAGCCAGAGGAAGCTGAGAATCTGTTAGCTATCTCGCTCTCCCAGCAGCATGGAAATGTACCCACATCATAATTAGGGCGACGACATTGAGTCCAGAGTAGAAGCCGAATACTCCCTGCGGTTTCATGACCTTGAGCATGCGAGGGAGTGTAAGCGACAACACTGCCTAGATTTCGGCGTACGAAGTCAGTACATGTCTTACTACATGTTCATCCGTTCGTCTTGACTTACCGCCCAGAAGTTGTTCGTGGCCACAGCCCATGACATACCCACTTCTCTGTGCGAAAGCGGGAATACTTCAGCCGAGTACGTGAACGGCACCGGTCCCATTCCAGGAGAGTAAAAGGCGCCAAAAAGGTACACGAAGAAGGCAATTAAGCCTAGATGTGCATCGCTGTCCTTGGGAATGTAGTAGCACATGCCAGCTACAAGGAGCGTCCAGAACATATTGGGAAACGTGGAAAGAAGCAGGCCGCGGCGACCAAAAGTATCGATCGTCCAGACTGCCGGCCAAGCGAACGTGAAGTTCACGAGACCGAACCCAAAAGATGCAATGAGGGCTTCCTTGTTTGTGGCTCCTCCTTCTGCGAAGATGGTCGAGCTGTAGAATGCGATGATGTTGATGCCGCACATCTATTCCCATTAGCCTCATTCATCCCAAGGGACTTCCCACAATCTTACCTGTTGTCCGATCATCACGATACCAGAAGCTTGCGTCGCGCGACGGACCCGCGGAATCGTGAACAGCTCAATGAAGCGCGTGAAGAAGTTGGACTTGGGGTTGATTCCAGCTTCGCGAATCAGAACCTCTTCCTGCTCGAGGAGGCAATGGGTGTAGTAGAGGTCGCGCGCAGCTTGAAGAGGGGTGTTGCGTAGACGAAGAAAGGATCGGTAGGCTTTGGCGTACTTTCGCTTCTTCATGAGCCATCTTGGACTTTCAGGAACGAACCAGATGCCAATAACGAGGGGGACGGCAGGAATGAATGCGGACCCGAATTGAAGACGCCAGGAAATCGACCCAGTGTTCTATCCGTTGTCAGTGGTTGCAAACTGCGAGCATGTTCACGGCCTCACCATAACAGCCAGATTAGCGACCGTTCCCAGGAAGATACCAAACGCCGTCCTTACTGAGTCAGTATATGTCTCACATGCATTTCGTACAGTCATAACTCACCAGATCTGCCATGACATGACGAGCCCGCCACGCACACTAGCCGGGACATTTTCCGCTGAGAAGACGGGCACTGTGACTTCCTTGAGTCCCATACCAACACCCAGAAGCACACGGCAAACGGCAAGCTGGCCCCATGTCTGGCTCAGACCCATGCCAAAGGGCGCAAAGAGTGAGAAGACGGCAGCAATGAAGATGGTACCACGACGACCGCAGAGTTCATTCACGGGATCTAGGGTCGTTAGCAAGAGAGGACATGAGATGACGGGAACTTTGAAGTCAACTCACCAGAGATCCAAGCACAGAACACTATAAAAGTTAGCGAACTTCTCAACTGGCTCACCATCATGTAACACTCACCAGCAATAGCAATATAAGGACAAGCATTGATAAACCCAATAATCCACCCATTCTTCTCACACGTCCCCGCCGCCTCACACACTGGGCCAGAGTCCGGAATACCGAGGGCCTGGCCGAAAGTCAGATTAGCGCCGTTGGAGCCCGTTTGGTCCCACCCCTGGATAGCTGCTGCGACAGAGTTGAGGATAATGGTAAAGTAGAGTGTACGAGGGAGTTTGAACCGATGGGTGATCTCTTCGCGGATGGCGGTACGGTCATCTTCGTCCAGCTCTTCAAGGTCTTCGAAGAGTGCGGGTGACTGTGCAAGGAGGGCGCCTTTGACGAGGAGAGGCTCGACGTCGGTTAGCTGGTGCTCTGTGGCGAAGTCGTGGACGTTGGCTAGGAGCTGCTCTCGCGGTATGTCGACGAGCGGGTTGCGGATTCTGGATTTGTTAGTAAAAGCGAGTCTTGAGCATGCCATTTGAGAAGTTTCGGGTGCGAATATGCTTGTGCCAAGTGGGTTTGATCAGCTAAGGGATTACTTACTCGCCCTCTAGATTGGCTGTTAGGCGAGCGACGCTCTCTTTGCGCTTCTGTTCATCGTCGAAGATGGACGCCTTACGTTCGTGGTGTTCATCCACTACCACTGGACTGGAAGACACACGGTCAGTACAGTCTAAGCCTCACATCATGGTCATCTTCAGCTTGCGACAAGTAGCTTACTCAATCTTGGTATCCTTTTCAGGTTCTGCCATGGCCAACTTATAGGCAGACGTGCGCACTACAGCTTGAGTATGTTTGGCGTCGAAGCCCAGGTGGAGATAGCTTCAGGAAAGCTTCCAGCAAGATACGAGAACAAGAAGAAAAGACGCAAAAGAGCTTCATCATACGAGACCAGGCGAACAGACATGCTTATATGTCCGTGTCATTCAGGCTTACTGCTTCATTCCCAAAAGCTGCAGTTTCCCCGTCTTGGGTCAATGCCAATACCGATCCTCACACATGCAACCATCGCTATCCATCAACAAAATGCTCAGACACGATCACGCGGTGCCAGCTCACCAGCCAATAGCGTCATGAGGTGATAGGCCAGGGTAAGTAATCACCGCATAACAGCTGGGAGTTGGCCAACGTTGGTGGCTGCAAAACAGTAAGGCGGAGCACTTGGTCGTTCTTGGGTATTGGGCTTGGCCGGGCTTTGACGGTATCTTCACGCCTTGGAAGTTCTTGCTGCGATGAAGCAAGGACCAGGAGGGGCTAAGGCTGATGCCGACATCACAAGCCGCGACGAACTCCGGGTAATATAAATCCATGGCTCAAGATACGC